AAATAGGCGAACGTCGTAGTATCTTCGTTATAAATAACGTGAGTTTATAATACTCGAACTTCCCAGTTAATTAAGCGCTCCATTAATATGATATTACGCCGTAAACAAAGGCAATTTCTGCGGAATCTGAGCGAAATGGTTCGAAATTTTATTGTTCTTCGTTCTCTGTAATCGCTTATAATCCGCAGATATTTCTAACTATCGTTCGATGCGAACTTGTTAAGTTGTTAATTTGATGCATCGTCGTCGCCGGCAGCGAGCATTTTTCACGACGGCTTTATCGTATTAAGCGCTTGTTACGAAACTTTCCTGCGGATAATATCTGTAATAGTAGAGAACAAAATGAAAGAGAAATAGAGATAGATACACTGAGAAAAAAAAGTTGTTTTTTCCAAAAATTAGTTGATTAACTAAATATAGTGGTCACGGGCTGTCAAGAAAATATTTGTTAATTCAACCGAATATTTGTTAATTCAAACAAATAATATGTTTTAAATTTTAAGATTTTGTTAATGTAAATTTATAAATATTTGAACTAAATAATCACTATGAACGAAACGCATTTAGTCAAGTTAACAACTTTTTTCTCAATGTAGAGAGAGAGAGAGAGAGAGAGAGAGAGAGAGAGAGAGAGAGAGAACGCAATAACAATAGAAATCATCATCTATTCACGTCAATTTCGATGAATCGGATTAATACCCTATTTGATTGACGGCTTCATTATCTTCTACGGTAATTGCTGCTATACAGATCGTTTTCAGCAAACTACGTTTACTTTTAACGAGTAAGATGACGCGTTTTGAATATCGGAAAAGAGGGAAAGGGAGAGTTCGTTTTCCATTAATATGTCTACTGTCAAATTTACAAAAGGAAGGTGAAATTCCGAGACGGACTTTCCATGTTTTTAGTGCTAATTAGAGTATTTGCCATATAATATCATGTGCATGCATTATATTGCTCATGAAACTATTAATACTTTGCCGCAATTACTGTAATTATCTTATATTATGCTGTATATGTGGTGGATCGATCGAGTCGACAAGTATTCCAATTAAGCATTCCGATCGGTCGACGACGACTGCACGTCCCAAATCTCTATCCCTGTATTCTTGTTTGGAATGCAGTTTATTACTTTCAACAAAGCATAAAAAGAGTCGCTAACTTGATTCCCGATTGTAAACTTAATTAACCGGTAAATTGCTGAGTGTTGGTCATGAAACTAATATCGAGCAGCGCTTGAGAAAAGCGAAATAAAAAAAAATAAAATTTGTCCACCCCAGAAAATCGATTTCAACCGCGGTAATAAAGAGTTTAATACGTGCATTTGTACTTTTAATTTTCGCCGTATTTCTTCTCGTATTTTTGCTGTGTTTCTTCTATGAGAATTCATAGTCACGCGAATTACAAACTATATCTTTCTATATTCACACGTAAATCCAATTCGCGATTCTAATCCGAATGCACGATAATTCGAGGAGAATGCTGGGAATTTCTAACGATACTCGTCACTCTTTTCACTGCCGCGCCGGAGGATATCTGTTTTTGACAGCTACACGATGGTGATCCATCCATAAGAAGTGGAATTTTGCCAGCCGATCCCGAGGACACTGCGGAAACGCCGAATTTCAGGAACGAATCTATTTGAAATGGGAATCTTTTAAAAAACAATTTCAACGCTAAATAGACTTTTATAAAAAATAATTTATACACCGTTAAATCTATAGTGTCAAATTTAATCTGACGTAAGTCACTGGTTTGTATTAAACATATTGTTATTTTATATCAAGCCTGTCCAATTTGAGCTCCGAAGCCAAAATACAAAGTCATCGACGTAAAAAAATTCAATGTGACTAAAATTTTGGAAAACACTATAAAGTATTGATAAGCTTCACTCAGATTCGTATCAACACTTACAGTCCCCGAAATCTTAAAATTTTTTGCGTCGATAGCATTTGCGTTTTGACTCCGAAGCTCAAATTGGACAGATCTATATTATACTAAAACGATAATTAAATTTGATACTATATCATGTCAATTTGACGCTATAGGTGTCAATTGGAATTGACATTGTACAGTATGAAATATAAGCACTTTTAATTCAAACTAATATAATTGAGCAGAAGCAATGGCGATTAAGTTAAATTTGACTATAGATTTATGTAACAATGTACAAAATAATTTTGTCCAAAAAAAAAAATATTTGTTGATAAAATTATGTTTTTGAGGGATTATATGTTTTGTTTAATATCTCACGTATATAACCCAAAGATTTCCCGGAAATTTGGTTCGCAAAACGCGTTTACTATCCGCTCCTGGCAAAACTTCTATTTCATCCTGCAGTCAATGGCAGTCGCGCCGCGACGCCGACGCCGACGCCGACGCCGACGCTGCGCCCCCGCATCCGCGGTTTCCTTTTTACCGCGGCACCGCATTAAGCCCGCCTAATGTCACTCGAAGAAGCGACGGGCGAAGGGAACGGAGAAAAGTGGGAAGTGTAAAAAACGAGTGAACCCGATAGATCGATCCGGCGGAAATTTCTCAGGGGAACAACGCCCGTGAGCGCGATGCCGCAGGCCGTTCAAGCGCTATCCTACATCCATCACGCAGAATTTGCACATTGGTGCTGGACAACTAGATTTACTGGCGAAATACCCACCGGCGGAAAGGGCGGGTCGTAATCACGAAAGGAATCCACGCAATTTATAAGGCGTATATAAATTGAAAATTATTTACAGAAAGAATTAATTCCGTTATAGCGCATATATATTTATATGAATATTTATATTACCCCCTTTTTTTTTTTTTATACTAATGTAACTCCTTAACGCACACGCTGTGAAAGCCCGAATTGTTATAACCGATCTAGCAAAAAATCGTCACAGATTAAATTTCTGAGGTAAAAGCGTACTTCCGTTCTCTCAATTAAAGCGCAAAAAGTGCCGCATCACAATAATCAACAATATCGGTAAAGTATTAAAACACAACGGACCAGGTAGATGTTCATATATTTTGCATGTGAATTGCAATATAAATAATTAATCGTCACTATTTATCAACGCGGTAATGCATAGTGAACGTATAAATTCGTAACGTATTATTAATCTCTTACGCGATGAAAATTTGTGCTTTTACGAACGATCGATGCGAGCGGCGCGTGTTTTATCAATCCCGCGAAATTAACAATTTAATTTGTGACACGTAACCGTTTTCCCTCGAAATTAATATCACGCCCGAGAATCGATTTTTCCGCGGATGCGGATAGGATAAGATCGGTCCTTTTCACGATTCCGTCAGAGGCGTTTCGGCTGCCCTATCAATCTTCACCGCCGTTTTTCAGTTGTGAGCTCACGCTCGCGGATTTTCTCGGGTCCGCGTTACTGCGCTTCTTGCATGCAGAAGGGGAATAGATTGACTGAAATTGACACCTACACTCCCGCCCGTCAATGCGAATTGACGACGACCGAATTGGATAATCGGTGGAAACGCCACGATCTCGCCGGTGATGTGAGCATATCGTGGCACGACCTAATCTTTATCCTCGCATCATTGTGTCACTATCGTCCTCATTTCTCTCCTAATTTCTCAATATATCTTTTCTTAGAGCTTTTATCGGAACGCGTACTAATATAAATTGATAATGTCAAATTATATCCAATATGAATTATTTTTTATCATTTCTATAGGTCGTCATTGCTCCTATTGAATATATCATTAATTTAATTAACACAATGGAGTTAACCAATTTAATTTTTAAAATTGTATTGTAAAATTAAATTTGATTCAGTTTGTTTTTTACGGTATATTATACAGTAATACATTGATGACGTGAAACTAATCACAGAAAATAGATTGATTTACATTTTGACACATGGATGTTAAAAATAACAAAATGTTATTTTTAGCTCAAGGGATTGAATTACTATTGTTCTTTTGAATCTAACGGTGTACGTTATTCGATATCAACACGACGAGTTTTTTATTTCTTCGACAATATCCAGAATTAATTTTTTTCATCAAAGTTCATATTTTTTATGGAAAACTTTTTTCCGTCACGAGTGCAGTAACGTAAAAATTTGCAAAAATTCGTGAGATTATTTATAAAATGTTTTTATTCGTTAGAAGTTAAATATTACATCGGACGATTTTGCAAAAAAATTCACGTAGATTTGAGGTGTCGCAGCCACGGTCGGTAATATTCGTTAGAAATCCTTCACGACCACACCACTATCTGGATTGGATGATGTATGATGTAATTAATGGTTATTTCGCGGCTAATTGCCCAGGCGATTATGACTTTTCCACGTGTATGTCGCTGCACTGCCACGGCGAACATGAGAAGGAAGTTTTAAATAGCATGTCCTAAATAAATTGCAAAATAAGTTTGCTCATCGATATAACATATTTTAATTTTTAAATGCATTGAAGTTGATATGTGAAATAAAAATAAAATAGATTCAATTGAATAAATTAAATTCCACCAATGATTACGTATATTACTAATATAATTGTTTATAATCGTAAGAATCTTTCGATCAAATAGAAAATGCTAGTGACAACGTAAATTTTGATTTTATTTTTGAAAAAAAAGTTGTAAAACAATTTGATTTTGTCGTTGATAAATAAAGAATAGAACGTAATTTCCACACTGAAAAAAAATATAGTCAATTTTAATAAATATTTAGTTAAATATTGCCAACTAAATATTTATTAAATATAAAAATATATTTATTTGATACAAGAAATGTTAATTTGATTTAACAATCATTTTTTTTATTGAACGAATATTTATTAAAATTAACTATATTTTTTTCTCAGTGCATATACAAATAAATAAATATATATATATATGCACTGGGATATTTAAAAAAAATGAAAAAATTTTTAAATTTAATATATATTACTTTAAGAAAAATTCTATAAGATATAATCCGTCTAGACTTAACAAATTTCGATAGAAGATTTTGCATAGTTCATACTGACGATAACTATTTTTATTACAGGTAGCTTAGGATACGATTCGTCTGATGAAGATGATATCGAAACCTCCTTCGACTTCGCTATGCCTAATTTGTTTTCTGGTACGTAACATTTACAGTTATATTGAGACGGGATATGTGTGTGTGTGTGTGTGTGTGTGTGTGTGTGTGTGTGTGTGTAATATAGCTTTGATTTTTTTTTCAATGTGTTTGTTTCTCTTAATTGCATTACACATTTTCTTTTCTCTCTGTAATTAAAAACAAAAATATATATATTTGAAACATAAAATAAAAAGAAGAAAAAAAAGAGAAGAGAAATAATTCGTAATAAAATAATTATAGAAAGAGCACTATAATAATTGGAAAAAGAAAAGAAATTTTATATCATCTAGAATTGTTTCAATATCATATTAACTAATTCTTATCAATACGCAATCATCCGTTCGTATTTTCATCACACGTTTCATGCTAGATACAGCCGCGATAAAATATTGATTTTATTCATCCGCTGTGAATGCTATATTTAATGGAAACGAGTATATGGTATTTTTTGACGTTGAATACGCGCTAAAAGATACGAACTTAATGGCGGCTGTGTCAAATCAAATGTTAAATACAGATGCGAATGTAACCCGTTATTTTCATTAGCGCCTCCGCACTTTTGCGCTTTAACACAGAGATTCGCAAATGCGATACACGTGAGAGTGCGAATTTGTGTGCCTCTGACGGGTAGATCATAGAGGTGTGCGCAAATATCGCGCATATATCGTACGAACGGCCGGAAATGCAACGTACAGCCACGATTGCATCGCGGGCGTCAGTCTCATATTCCGCTTACATGCGGTTTGTCTGAGCGTAACTTCCGTCAGTGTGCGCCTACAGGGACATTTGGTATTGTTAATGGTATACCAATTACCACCGCGTTCCGTCGTTCACTTCATATGAATCTTGCTTACAATTAGTATACGACTAATCAATGCTATTGTATCATTAAGAGATTAATTATTAGCGCAACATTTTATTATTTTATACATCATCTATACCAATATCTTTCACAACAATAATAATTCATTGCATCGATTGAAAGTAAATTCTGCAATAATTTAACCGAGAAACGTAAAAATAACATATTGAGGTTACGAACGAAGTTAGTTCGAATTATAAAATTAACTTGCAAATTAAAATTGTGTTTATATAAACCTATAAAAAGACAGATATTACTTTATTTGATAAGAAAAGAATGTGTTTGAATGTTTAAAAATAAAACAGGTCGTTCAAATGAAAGTCTGAAAAGGAAAGAATTTCTTTTTACGAGCACAATACCTTATCTATAAAACATAAATATAGGAATCCCTTCCTTTTTTCTCAAGATAGATAGTAATAATTGGAATTTCAAATATCCGCGTTGATGTCGATGCATTAAGTCAGTAATGTCGCGCTATGCTTGTATTCTGCAGATTATCACGCAGCTTTACGGAAGGCACTTCCGCTCTTCCACGTTCTAGGATGATCAACAATCTCTCGTAAACCAGTTCGACTGCAAGATACGTACGGCTTGTATGTGTGTGTGCGCGACCGCGGTAACAATGTCTCGCGGGTAATGAGTCGCTTATTCGTGTGTGGGAGCTCATACGTGCCGCCCGTCACTCTCGTTGCGCAACAATTCGTGCTCTGGATCTATCGCAAAATGATACCGCACCCGTAGGTCATGCCTTCGCTCTAACAATGTATCACCATTTGGCCATCATCGATGATCGCATTTAAGGGAATCCTCATGTGGAACTGGACCCGCATTAATGTAATTGCGATGTATATGTGAACGAGATTTTCGTCGAAAATTTACGCTGCACGATAGCCAATGCGATTAAAATCTCACAAAGGACCCCACGCTAATTTTATGAAAAATTGGATCCCCGATGAAATGAGTTATTTTTCATATACGTAGCTTACAATGTGATGAAAAAAATGTCAAATTGATACAAGGCTGAATAATGGATGGTTTTTGAGCTACGATGTATCAAATGTGTAAAACTTGTGCTCACAGAGCACCCTTGACACACACGATCACAAATTATTCATTATTGAGTCTTGTGTCTATGACATCTTTTGTTCACAACGTTATAAGCAACATTATTATACATGAAAATTAATTCACTAGAATTCTATTGTCGATATAATTAGAGCAGACACTTCAAAAGGTGGAATAATCGTTAAAAAAAAAATAAAAATAAAAATATCCTACTGGAATATTTAAGAAAGTTTGGAATGTAAATATATTCTTGTATATGAATACGTGGCTTGTTAAAATCAGCAATCTTTCTGATTGGAATCCGCAGGAAGGAAAACTAACAGTAAACAGATTTCGTCTTGCTTCCTGTTTCTCTTTCGGAAGAGTAAACACGGAATAAACAAATACAAATCGATGCTTTTCCATATTCTTGCAATTATGCACCGAAGAATTTGCAGAAAATGAACGCATCGGAATCGAACGCATCTAGAAACTTATTTATCTTCAAACATTTTTTTTGTCTAATCGAGCTTGGAAAATGCTTGGTATGTGCAAACAAAATTAAACAAAACGACGGTGAAAAAACCGTTTGCGTAATATGTTTTCATGCCTTTTTATTAACTAATATTTAACAAAATTCTCGTTAAATATTTTCATGCGTTTCGCGCATGCGACGCGCGTTTTATAAATATTTATAGAGCCCAAACAATATGCATCAAATGCCGAATATTCATTCGAATAAGCAAAAATTTTACATTGGGGTACGGCCTGAAAAATTCGCACGATTTCCCAAAATAGAGGCGACTTTGCAATTTCCTTAATACTCGTAAAACGCTATCGCTGCTCTTATCGCGAGATATATAGCTGTACAGTGTTACATCCATCGCACCATTAATCGATATACGTAACTACAGCATTATATGCCGGCGAGAGAAAGAATAATAGGTAGCCGTGGTATTCTAATGAAAGCAATTACCAGAAAATATTGTTCTAATTAACCAAGTTGCGATTACTAATGCGCTACAAAAAAGTTAGAGATTTCCTCACGGCAAGAGAAAAAAAGAAAGTCGATATAAAACTCCGTAAATTCGGATGGTGTAGAACGTAATGCAATATTGAAAGCCATTTTCTTAAAATTTCAAAAATTCAGCACTTATATAAGATGAATTAATACTGACGGTATTAATTCATCTTATATAAAAAGATATAAGTAAAATATGCATAAAAATAAAAATGACTTCTTACTAAGATAATTGTATTAACTTTATCATCAGATTTTTTTTCAGTTTATTAGTCCGATCTATATTCTGTATTATATATTTAATTAAATGTAAAATTTGCCTTTGATTACGCTAGATTTTTAAGATTCTTTAGTAAATCGAGTTACCAGAAATATCTAATTTTTTTATATAATGAGATTGAAGTACCAAAATTCTACGATAAATTAACGATGAAATAAGAGAGAAAAAAAATGTTAAAAATGTATAACTTTTCATATATAATTTAGTGGCAAATAAGGCTCACTTCTTTGCTTAACTGCACACAAATCTTATCATAATCTTTTCTCAAAAATGAAATTAATAGTTCAAAAAATTACAATTTTAATTATCAAAAAAACGTAATAGGTCAACGGCCATTCTGGAAACTATTTACATGGATAAACTTGCACTATAAATATAATCTCGATAAAGATGCAATTCTTGATTTCCTATCGTATGTACTATTTTATTAAAACACATTATACACACAAAGTTTTAATATTTTATTGAAATTATGCGGATATTTATAATTTTGGGAGGGCACCCCAAATTTTTTGTACTTTACTAAAAACCACCTAAGGTTTTCGACAAGAGCACATAAAAACTGTTTTTAAAATAATTTTCGCTGAACTTGAATTTGTCGAAATATTTCTATCAGGTCCGATTTTTGAGATATAAAAAAAAAGACATTTGTTCAAGTTGTATAGGAAAGTTTCATAGAACAATTTGATATTTTATTTATTAAAATTTTTATTTATTAAAATTTATTTATTGAAATTAAATTAGAAAAAAACTAGAGGTATTGAGCATTTAATTTTTGTTTTTTTATTTTGTTGTTTGTAGCAGTAATTGCCTAACATGTTTTCATTTCAATATCTTTGATGAACGTCTCTCAATCCTTATCAAATCCTAGAGGAAACGTTCACTTTGCACCTTAATTCTTCGGAAAAAAATATCATTATCTAAAAATTGACATGTTATATTTAAAAAATTCGATTTGATGGAATTTTTTTCTGAAATTTGAACTCATCGCCCTAAATAAGTTTAATAAAAAACTTGTTCCCTTTTCTTGTACTAAAAATTATTCAATAAATTAGTGTTATTGGCTGTAACGTTGCATCGCAAATTCATATCAGAAGAAATGAAATAAGATCTTTTATCCGAGGAATACAAGATTCGGGATCATTCCTTTATATATTATACTAATTATCCTATTATACTTATTATGGGATCTTCATTTATTATCAGCCAGTGGAATTTAACGCACGCGTCGCTATAGTGATAAATACTTCGTGCATACATATTTTTGTGCGCCGATAAAAACATTCAACAAAGAAAGGTATCCGATCGATCGACGTGATTAACGGTGTTATCGCATGGAATTTATAACAAGGTGATCCCGAAATCCGGTATGCGCGTAGGTGGATAAGATGGCACGTGTAACACATCCAACAAAATAAAATCTGTTGTGCCGATGAACATCATCTTTCATGGCCTTTTGAAGTGCAGCGAGTAAAGGTCGCAATATTAAATGTTAAACTCACGACGATATGAAATACATGCACGGATGTGAGAAATAATAAATGCTGCATGCTACAATAAATAATATCCTTCAGCAATGTTAATGCAAAAACTGATGTTATTTTGAGAATAAATGTATTTAAAAGTTTTATTAAATATGGATACATTATAATAGATTAAGCACGTGTCTGATATTAAACGCAACTACGTTAAATTAAAAATACCTGTGTTTTATTAAATAAATTATAAATGCTAAAGATAAAAGGAGAGTACAAACTGGAAAATATATTTTTAGACGTGCAATTATTCATATG